CACTGGAAGCCCGAGCACCTGAGATTGACCTGGCCTGCCCTAGGGAAGAGGATGCTGCAGCCGGCCAGCTCAGGACAGGAAGGGACCAGCCAAGCCTCTGGTCACTTAAAGTGAGCTTGATGTAAGAAGTTTTGTGATTCATTCAAACACAAGATGATGCATTTTCCCCCTTTCCGGAGCCCCCGGACTGCACTCAGGGACCTCTGGGCTACTGGCAGCCACAGAAAACCAAGTGACCCAAATGAAGCCACACAGACGCTTTGAAATCACAGTGAGCTCCTGGCCTGAGAGAGAAAATAACTCCCAGGGAAAACTCCCCCTGCTCAATGATGAGTTTTCCAGGGAAAGTTGGACCTCTGGAGATCCCATGCTGCGAGAGAAGCCACTATCCCACCCCAGTCCCACGAATGAGTCCTGTCTCCCTCCTCACCCAGCGCAGAACCGAGCTTCTGCAACCGAAAAGCCACCCAGGGCCCCAGGTGGCTAAGAGATGCTAGAAAGAGATGCAGTCTTTACCAGGTTCTGAGTCCATGCAAATGAGATGCAAAGTGAAATGCAAATCCAAGCTTCTCTTTCTGAATCTCAAGTTGTCATCTGGTGGCTGAGCCTTCCCAGTGCTCTGAAGGCCACTGTCTCCTTCCAGCCTCTTGCACATCAAGGACAGGGAGCTCTGGGGATGGAGCCACAGGGCCAGGTGCGCAGGGTTTTGTGGATGGCAGGGGCAGGATAGCTGCTGACCGCCCCGCAGGCCTGACAATCCCTCGGGATGCCGGACCCAGTGCTGTGTTTCCTGGAGCTCAGTGGCTGCCACTGCCTTCTCTGCAGCCTTCCTTCTCAACTCCAGAAAGGTGCCCCAAGTCATGGACCTCAAAGCCCCAAGGCAATGCCCCAGCCCAAGACACCACCCCAAGGGAATTCACCGCCCAAGGCTGAATGCACAGTGACTCCGGGAATGCGGATGCCACACTCACCCCTCACCTGTTTGGCTGCAAGAGGTAGTTGTTGAGCCTGGGTACCTCTGAGGGTGGAATTCTCCCCCAGGGTTTTCAAGTTTGGAGCCATCTTGAGCTGCTTCCCACATGAAGGAAGAAAGCCGAGTGGGGGTGACGCGGAGCGTGCTCTGCCTACTCAGCCGGGACTGTGCCTCTGAAACCACCCTTCAGTGCGCTCACAAGTTCAAGAGCTCAGGGCCCCCTCTCAGCCCCCATCTGGCATCTGTTCCCAGGGGGGAGCACCTAGAACCTGCTTAGAAAGCGCTTCTTGGAGCATGTGAGAGCTGCAAGGCTCTGAACTAAAGAAGGAGCCAAAATTCATAACAATGGTGACATAGAGGCCAGGAGCAGAGGGGCTGGCCTTGGAGCAGCCACTTACAGGACTGGGAAGGGGACAGCTGAGAAGGGAAGGGGCTCTGGAGGCAAAGGAAAAGCAGGCAGTGCAAGAAACCTTCGAAAAGGGTCACGGGGTGACAAACATCCCCCAGTCCTACCCTCCAGCCCCGTCTGCGGTCTACCCGCCATGCCCATGGAGCTCAGCGTGGAGCTCAGGAGGACCCAAGGTTTCTCTGCACAGCCGCGGCCCCCAGCAACCCCAGGCACCTGGTCAAGGCCTCTGGCTTTTCTCTACACTTTCCTGTCCCTGCAACACCTCCAGGGTGGGGGTGAAAAGGTGGAAGCCCCGGTGGTATCCTCCTTTAGATCTCCGTCAGGGCATGGCCTTCTGAACCCTGTGGCCCTGGGCTAGTGCCTGGAGTGGGAGGTGCCATCAAAGGTGCAGCTCCTTCCCTGAGACGGCCCAGGCAGGCACCTTCTTGCCTCATGCAGCCTGAACAAGGTCCTGCTGGTCCTGTGATCTGCCCCACTCTCCAGAGGAAGAGTGCGCTGTTTCAGAAATCCCCCTCCGATCAGCGGATACGAATACTCCTGATGCCCACAAAGCTGTATACAAGAACACGATGTACTTCTCTGGCCGTGAGCACATGCTGAGCTTCCGGTGCAAGCAGGCTCTGTGCTGGCCCCAGGGTCCAGGGATAGCCAGCAGGGGGAGTTTTCTCTGGCACACCCCCATTCCCTTCCCATCCATGCCCATGCTGGCTCTGTGCCTTCTGCAATTAATTTCAGAATTGGGGCTTCCCATTGCTCCTCCATGGTGAACATGACCCCAGGCACAGACAAAGCCCTGAGAAAGGACAGGATAATTCACCAAACTAAATGGAAAGCCGGATCCTGTCACTGAAGCTACTCCCCCATACGGACAGGGTGCTGGCATCTCCCCTGATCATTAGGCAGCCCCTCTGGGTAATGTTGGTGGCAGCAGAGTGCTGTGGACTGAACTGTGTCCCCTCCAAATTCGTATGTTGAAGCCCTAACCCCCAAACCTAACGATGTGGTGGTATTTGGAGATGGGGCTTTGGAGGTGCAATTAACATTAGATGAGGTCATGAGGGTGGGACCCGTTGATGGAATTAGTGCCTTAATGAAGAGATACCAGAAGAATCGCTCCCTCTCTGCCATGTGAGCACACAGCAAGAAGGTGCTGTCTGCAAACCAGGAAGAGAGCCTCATCAGAGCCAACCAGGCTGCTCCTCGATCCCGGACTTCCAGCCTCCAGAACTGCAAGAAAATACATTCCTGTTGCCTAAGCCCCCAAGTCTACGGTATTGTGTGCCTACATGTGCTTTTTAGAGCTGATTAACAGGCATGGAATAAGGTTTGCTTCAGAGGCCACAAATAACTCTCTAGAAACAAAGCATGGAAACAGGAGTCTCCTCTGCCCCAGATGCCAGGACCGGAGCCATCTGGACACTGTCTGGATTACACACTTTCCCTGCCACCCTCCTGTGTGTCCATAGCTGGCTCTGCTGTGATCTACCTGGACGGCAGTACCAGCCAGCCGGCTGGGTGCACAACCCCAGATCCCTGTCCTTGGTCTGCCATGCGGAGCTTTCAGCTCTGAGCTGTATGAGTGGGATGAAGAGCCAACAGAGGAAGTTTGAGCGATACTCCCCCGCGTCCCAAGTGCACATGCCACCTGGGCAGCTCTTGGAATTTCCACCAACTCTGCCTGTTGGTTGAGGGAACACCACAATTGCTGCCATGATAAACAGCCTGGGTGCAGGAGTGGGCTGGAGGCACATACCTGTTGGTGGTGGGGAAACAGGGTTTCAGTCCAGCTGGTCCCCTGATTAAATTCCTACCTTACAGCTTCATTCTACTGGTCACACTCCTAGCTATGTGACTAATGCTGTGCTTTATTGAGAACTTTTTACAGAACAAGCATTTCATTAAATACTCACATACGATATTTCATTTATTTATTCTGTGAGGAAAGGGGAGATACTATCTGATAACGGTTTGGCTCGGTGTCCACACCCAGATCTGATCTCGAATCGTAATCCCCACGTGTCCAGGGAGGGCCCTGTAATCCCCGCGTGTAGAGGCAGGGAGGTGATTGGATCACGGGGGCAGTTTCCCTCCGCTGCTCTTGTGATAATGGCTGAGTTCTCACGAGATCTGACGGCTAGGTAAGTGTTTGGAAGTTACCCCTTTGTTCTTGTCTCTCCTGCCGCCATGTGATGAAGGGCTTGCTTCCCCTTCACCTCTGCCATGATTGTAAGTTTCCTGAGGCCTCCCAACCCAAGTGGAACTGTGAGTCAATTAAACCTCTTTCCTTTATAGCAGGCATCCCCAAACTACAGCCCCCCGAGGCCATTTATCTGGCCCCCTGCTGCACTTCAGGAAGGGGCACCACTTTCATTGGTGGTCAGTGAGAGGAGCACAGTCTGTGGCGGCCCTCCAACGGTCTGAGGGACAGCGAACTGGCCCCCCGTGTAAAATGTTTGGGGATGCCTGCTTTATAGATTACCCAGTCTAGGGTGTGTCTTTTTTTTTTTTTTTTTTGAGATGGAGTTTCGCTCTTGTTACCCAGGCTGGAGTGCAATGGCGCGATCTCGGCTCACCGCAACCTCCGCCTCCTGAGTTCAAGCAATTCTCCTGCCTCAGCCTCCTGAGTAGCTGGGATTACAGGCACGCGCCAACATGCCCAGCTAATTTTTTAGTATTTTTAGTAGAGACGGGGTTTCACCATGTTGACCAGGATGGTCTCGATCTCTCGACCTCGTGATCCACCTGCCTCGGCCTCCCAAAGTGCTGGGATTACAGGCTTGAGCCACCGCGCCCGGCGGGTGTGTCTTTATAGCAGTGTGAAAATGAATGAATATGCTATCTCCACCTCCATTTTACATGTGAGAAAACCCAGGCTCATGGGGGGCAGATAACACATCTAGCACGACACAGCTAGGAAGCAGTCAAGCTGGATTCACACCCACACGTTCTGGCTCCAGACCCTGCACTTCGTCACTGTCCGCTGGAGCCATCCTTGCTGTCACTCCTGGAACAGCAGCCAGCACGTGGAAGGCTGTCAGTGAGCGGTGGCTGCCCTCTCACCCCATGCTCACTATGGTAGCATGGCCTCTTGTGTAAGTCAACCAACCTAAGCTCCCACACAGGGTCTCTGCCTGGGGTTATTAATTCGCTTATTAGTTAGGGCTGCATAACAAATTATGCCAACACACAGTGGCTTAAGACACCGACTGGGGAAGGGTCTGTTTCCAAACTCATTTGGTTGTTGGTAGAATTCTGTTTTTTGGTGTGTGTTTTCTTTTCTTTTTTTTTTTTTTTTCATGGTTCACCGATGTCTTTTATTTTGAGCACAAAACCACTGGGGATCTTGCCTGTGGCCACCCCGGAGATGACACTGGAGGTTCATACTGCTCCAGACACTTGGTGGAAAGCGGGGTGAGAAAAACAATGATTTGGGCCAATTACATGACTGCAAAGCTAGGGCTGCCAAGAGGGCTCCAGGGAGCCTGGCTGCTGCAGAAGTCCCAAGGAAGCAGTGCGAACTCCACGGTGGTGGGCGAGGGGAGCTAACTAGCAGGGCCCCTGCGAGTGTTGGTCGGGGGGCCTGGAGCAGCCCGAGCTGACATGAGGGGAGGAGTCTAATTAGCCAACAGGCGACTGAAGGCCTGGCCGGCCCACTGCTTCCTTGGCCAGGGGGTTCCTGAAGTTGCTGCCAGCAAACAACCTTGCTGCCCAGCTCCTCTTCAATTCTGAGGAGCTGGTTGTACTTGGCCAAGCACTCAGATCGGCAAGGGGCACCAGTCTTGATGTGCCCAGTGCACAGCCCCGCCACCAGGTCGGCAACGAAGGTGTCTACAGTCTCCCCAGAACGATGAGACACCATGATGCCCCAGCCACAGGCCTGTGCCGACTTGCACGCATGCAGAGACTCGGTCGCAGAGCCAGTTTGGTTCACTCTGAGCAGGAGGCAGTTGCAGGACTTCTCATTTGCGGCCTTTGCAATCCTCTTCGGGTTGGTCACTGTGAGATCATCCCCCACCACCTGGATTCCTGCACTGGCTGTGAACTTCTGCCATGCTCCCCAGTCATCCTGGTCAAAGGGATCTTCGATAGGCACCACTGGGTAGTCCTTGATGAAGGACTTGTACAGGTCGGCCAGCTGGTCAGGTGAGATGTACCTGCTGCGGTCATCAGGAGACTTGAAGTCCAGGTCATACTTCCCAGACCTGTAGAACTCGGAGGCCGCCACATCCATGCCGACGACCACCTTACCGGTGGAGCCAGCTTTCCCAATTGCAGTCTTCAGCAGCTCCAGGCCTTCCTTATTCTCTAGGATGTTGGGCGCAAACCCGCCTTCGTCGCCCACATTGGTGGCATCTTTCCCATATTTCTCCTTGGTGGCATTCTTCAGGTTACGGTAAACCTCCGCTCCAATGCGCGTGGCTTCCCTGAAGCTTGCGGCACCCACGGGGAGGATCATGAACTCCTACACGGCCAGCTTGTTACCAGCATGGGAACCACCATTGATGACGTTGAATGCCGGCACTGGCAGGATGACTTCAGTGTTGCTAGCCAAGCCGGCGATGTGGTGGTACAGAGGGACCCCCTTCTCTACGGCACCAGCTTTGCAGACGGCGAGGGACACCCCCAGAACGGCATCCGCACCAAACTTAGATTTATTTTCTGTTCCATCCATCTCGATCATCAGTTTGTCAGTCTTCTCTTGTTCTGTGACATTCGGTTTCTTGCTAACCAGGGCAGGTGCAATAGTTTTATTGATGTGCTCAACAGCCTTTGAGACACCCTTCCCCATATAGCGAGTCTTATCATTGTCCCGGAGCCCTAGGGCCTCAGAGATACCAGTTGAAGCACCACTGGGCACAGCAGCTCTGAAGAGACCTTTTGCGGTGAGGAGATCCCAACCTCAACAGTGGGATTCCATGAGTTAAAAATCTCCCTGGCATGGATCTTGAGAACAGATATGGTGGATTTCTAACCGCCGGGTCTCGTCCCCTGGAAGAGAAGCGGAGTTGTTTTCTTTTTTTTTTTTTTTTTTTTTTTTGTGACGGAGTTTTGCTCTTGTTACCCAGGCTGGAGTGCAACGACGCCATCTCAGCTCACTGCAACCTCCACTTCCTGGGTTCAAGCAATTCTTCTGCCTCAGCCTCCCAAGTAGCTGGGACTACAGGTGCGCGCCATCATGCCCAGCTAATGTTTTGTATTTTTAGTCGAGACGGGGTGTCACCATGTTGACCAGGATGGTCTCGATCTTTTGACCTCTTGATCCACCCGCCTCGGCCTCCCAAAGTGCTGGGATTACAAGCGTGAGCCACTGCGCTCAGCCCTTTTGTTTTTAGATGGAGTTTTGCTCTGTCACCCAGGCTGGAGTGCAGTGGCGCAATCTTGGCTCACTGAAACCTCTGCCTCCTGGGTTTAAGTGATTCTCCTGCCTCAGCCTCCTGAGTAGCTTGGATTACAGGTGCCCGCCACCATGACTGGATAATTTTTGTATTTTTAGTAGAGATGGGGTTTTACCCTGTTGGCCAGGCTGGTCTCGAACACCTGACCTCAAGTGATCTGCCTGCCTCGGCCTCCCAAAGTGCTCGGATTACAGGTGTCAGCCACCAAGCCCGGCCGGAATTCTGGTGTTTTTGCAAGCTGTTGAACTGAGAGTTTCAATTTCTTGCTGACTCTCAGCTGGGAGCCGGCCACTCAAAGCTCCTTCACACCTGCCCCCTTCCGTAGGAAACTCACAATGTGGCCACCTGTTTTGTCAAAGCCAGCAAGGAAGAGAGGAATGCCATCTTCTTTGCTAGATGAATTCCTATATGGCAATCTAATTGCATGGTCCCCACCCACACTCAAAGCGAGGGAACCACACAAGGGCATGAGCGGCAGGAGGTGGGACTTGAGGCAGGACACCTAAGAGTCTCTCAGTCCAAGTGTGACATGACAGTCGCAGATGATCAGGTCCCAGATCCACAGCTGCAGGAGGAGAGGCAAGGGCAAGTGAAGGACTCACCGAGGCCAGCTTAGCGTCAGTGTCCACATTTCGGATTCCCACCAACACCTGTGATGTTGCCCAGCCACGTGGACACATCCAGTAGATAAAGATGCTGTTGCTATGGAGTCCTGGCATAGGCAGACCAGGGCCAGAAGTGATCAAGGTAATTTGCAAATATCAAGGCAATCAACCCTAGACTGTGAGTCCCATGAGCCAGGAGAACACGCGTTTTCCTCACTGCTGCATCCCAGCACCTAGCAGTGCACAGGACTGCTTCCTGCCCAGCCAGTGTCTGCTGGGTGAAATGAATGGACCCACTGATGGCAGCAATCAGAACTGGCTTCCACTCAGAGGGTCATTTGTGAGGAGGGGGAGAAGGCCGGAGAGGAGGCGTGGAGTAGGTAGCCAGGCATGGGACAGGTAGTATGCCACACTTACTCCTCTCCACGCCTGTCTCCTCATCATAAATGGAGAGTAAACACAATGCCTCACACCTATAATCCCAGCACTTTGGGAGGCCGAGGCCGGCGGATCACCTGAGGTCAGGAATTCAAGATCAACCTGGCCAACATGGTGAAACCTCGTCTCTGCTAAAAATACGAAAATTAGCCAGGTGTCCTGGCATGCACCTGTAACGGCAGCTTCTCAGGAGGCGGAGGCACAAGAATCACTCGAACCCAGGAGGCGGAGGTTGCAGTGAGCTGAGATCGTGCCACTACACTCCAGCTTGGGCAACAGAACAAGATACCATCTCAAAACAAACCAACCAAGCAGAAAAATGGCGAATAAAGAAATGAAGTGTCCAAGGAGCCAGAGAAATCCTCCAACCACCTCTTTGGCCCGTGCTAGTGTCAAAGGGGCTAATACAGCCTCAGAAAACAGGGAAACTCAGGTTGCATAGGGCAAGTAGGGAGATGATTTTCCCCCTGGAGCCTGGACTCGCCTTCCAAGCCACAGCCCTTCACCTTTAGGAAGAAAGAAAAGGCTTATCGTGTGATGAGAGTCCTTGTTCAAAGAAAGGAAATGCAGTCTCGTCAGAAGCCCAGTGGCAATACTTCCCGAACACAATGCACGCTGGTGACAATGTCTAATGAAGACTTTTATGACAGGGATGTAATTGTAAAAATAAAAAAAAAAAGATTAAAAAATTGGTTTCAATGCTTTGCCATCCAAGAGTTCATTTGTTCCCTCATTCATGCACTAAATAAGCCCCTAATTAATCTTGAACCTCAGAGAAAGGCGACTGGATTGCTATTTTCTCCATAAGGACGCACTTCACATTTTGGGAAGTTTGAAGAGGCTCTTCAGCATTTTCCTTTAGTGGTATTTTATCAGCATTTTAGAGAAGCTTCATTAGGCTGCCGAAAGCTGCTAATTGCATTACCATATTTTTAAGCCTCTTGGGTTCCGGTCAGAGTCATCGTTCCCCCAATCCTCCCACTAATCTGCGGGTTTGACACGCTGGAGATCCACCCATCGAGGGGAGAGGCCACCGCTCACGCCAGCGGGGACCATGTTGCTTTCTCTTCTCAAGGAAAATTTAGCTTCAAAAGTCATTGTGACGTCACCACTCTTAGGGAGAAAAATAAAAACCTCCAGCTTTCCAGCCAAGAAAAGAAAAACAAAAGGGCTGTGTGTGTGCATGTGCGTGTTTGTGTATAGATAGCTAGACATGAATATAGATGCACAAATGTGTGTTTAGAGAAATAGAAATATAATCTATATGCACAGATAGGAATAGCTGGATGTGTGTATGTAGATATGAATATATGTATATATGTGTGTAGACAGATATAAATATATGTATATGTGTGTAGATATGAATATATGTATATATTAGTATATGTATTTGTGTGTAGATAGATATGAATATATGTATACATTACATATACATGAATATATATGTATATATGGAGATGGATATGAATATGCAAGTATGAATATATAAATATGTGTATATATAAATAGATGTGCGTAGATGTGTGTATGTGTATAGATGACGTGTGTATCTGAATATATGCACAGAGGTATATATGTAGATAATGACTACATATGTGTCTCATGTGTGTACTAAACAATGATGCTTATATTTTATCTGGATTCTCCCCTCTCTCTAAAGAAAATTCAATGGAAAAAACTAATTTCCAAGCCTAGGCAGCTGAACACCCTACCAGGAGCTTCACAGACATTATCTCATTTAATCCTCTCTACAACCTTGCGAAGAGATAACTATTTCTGTCATTTTGCAAAGAGGGAAATGGATTCTCAGAGTTCATAAGTCACAGAGCTCACAAGCGGCGGAGTCAAAACTTGAAGCAAAGCCTGGGGAGTCGCCAGCATCCGTGCTCAGTCGGTAATGTTCTGCCTGGGAGTCGGGAGTCAGGAGTCCGGGAGGTGACGGGCCTGGGTCCACGCTGGCTCCACGCCTGCACACAAGCATCGTTACCCCTGTGAGCGCCGATTCCTGCCGATGGAGTGATGCTGTCCACCTTTGTGGAGATAAGAAGATGAAATGAGATAAAACATGTAAAGCAGTAAACCCTGGCATGTCCACCAGCTGCTCACACCGGGGCAGCCCTGACTGGGGGCATCTCAAGACAGCTGAACCCCATAAAAGCAGGGCAGGCACCCCACATACTCAGCAGACCCCAGCCAACACACGAATCTGGGTCCTGCCAGCCGGCACAACTCAGAGACGGGATGGGGACAGTCCCATCTCCTGGCTTGAGAAGACCTACCCAGTTCCCCTCTTCCGAGTCTCACCCCTAGAGTCTAAATAAACACTGTATGAAGTCGGGTCCCCAGCCGAGCAGTGACACTTTTGCCCCTCCTGCTCCACTTCCAGTCTCCAGAGTCTTTTTTCTTCTAACACGAGAGCCTGGGACCCAGCGGCCACTTTTCAAGGAGGGCTCCTCCACTTGCCTTCTCTCCTCCCTCCTCCCCTCCTGTTCCACTCCCCAACTCTGGGGCTCCATGCAAGCACAGCCAGGACGGAGCTGGGCTTCGGGGCAGCAGAAAGAGAAGACTGAGAGACCCCCTCCAGCTGTGGCCTCAGGTCTCTGAGATCGCCACCTGGGGCATGCTGGCAGCAACTGGGGAGAGTTTTAGCCACCGATGGGGCAAAGAGGCTCTGTGTTGACACAAGGACAGCCCCCGGAAATGTGAAGCCCTCTCGGAGCTGGGAATACAGGGCCTCTGGGCCAGCACTGCCCAAGGGCCATCTGAGTCTTTGTTAATCACAAAATAAGGAGACTCCCCTACCCCAGGCTACCAGGCAAGGGCCACCTGGTCTGACCAAGGAGGAAGGAGACAGCAGGTGGCCACAAGAGTTTCCAGGGCAAGACCCAGCTGGTTCCCTCCTACCTGTGGCCTGCTCACCAGGAAGCCCAGACCATGTGTGCCATGCCCAAGAAGCCGGCTGCTGCCTTCCATCAGTCATGGAGGGGCCTGTCTGCGGGGTGTTGGCTCCAGCGGGTCTGATGCCTGGAAATCTCTGGCTTTTCTGCTGCCTTGGCAGGATTGGGAGATGAGCAGAGGGGCTTCCAGTTTGCTGTGTAGGACCTATCCGTGCCCCCACGTCTTACTCAGGGAGGGTGGCAGCAAACGGGCTCGGGAACTTGCTTGCACAGGAACCTCCAGACGGAGAGGGGTATCGTTTCCAGCTTGGGTTTTGCAGTCAGGCAGACATGGGTCCAAGTGTTGGCTCTGCCACACCCTACATGGGTGGCCTTGAGCAAGTGACACACCCTCCAGAAAACTGTTTCCTCCCTTGCAAAATGCAGCTAAGATCGTCACTACTTCTAGGATTGCTAGAGGATTAAATGAGATTTAATGGGCCGGGCGCGGTGGCTCAAGCCTGTAATCCCAGCACTTTGGGAGGCCGAGGCGGGTGGATCACGAGGTCGAGAGATCGAGACCATCCTGGTCAACAAGGTGAAACCCCATCTCTACTAAAAATACAAAAAGTTAGCTGGGCATGGTGGTGCGTGCCTGTAATCCCAGCTACTCAGGAGGCTGAGGCAGGAGAATTGCCCGAACCCAGGAGGCGGAGGTTGCGGTGAGCCGAGGTCGCGCCATTGCACTCCAGCCTGGGTAACAAGATCGAAACTCCGTCTCAAAGGTCCCTGGCCACACAGGGCACATGAGCTGCTGGGGACACAGATAATACACAAGGAAGCCAGCAAGGTCAACAGACTGGCAGCGAGCGTGCGGAGAAGGAGGAGGTGTCACCAGGAGAAGAGCAGGGACCGGCCAGGGGTCGGTGCAGGCCTGATGCTTGGGCCAAGGGCTAAGGAACGAGAGGAGCCAGACGGGGAGACCCAGGCAGAAGGGAGTGTGCCAGCCCTGAGTGGGGAAAGGCTGGGTGTGTTGGAAGAACTGAAAGTGGTAGTGGTCAGTGGACTCGGACAGCGGGGAGCAGGGCGAGCCATGCAGGCCCAGGGCTCATGCTCCATCATTGCGGGGTGGCAGGCCTCGAAGCAAGGGTGCCTGGTCATGACCATGCCTTTTCCCACTGGGAGGGCTTCCCTGGAGAGCTTCCTCTCCTGCCCCAAGGAGGCTTTCCACTGACAAATCTACATCTGGAGGCCAGGAATGGCCACACGCAGAGAAACCCCAAACATACCCAGATCCCATCCAATCCCAGGTCCCGGGCTCTAGAGCTTAAACAATGTCACGTGCCCTGAACGCTGTTTTCTCTTCTACCAGGGAATCCTATTTCATTCTGATTTCTCTTTTGATTGATCTCACTAGAAACTCAGGCCAAGAGAAAACACATCATACAAGATAGCTAGGAACGATTTTCTATTCCAGACCATTCACATTCTCTTTCTTTCTCTCTCCTTAGACACACACACACACACACACACACACACACACACACACACCCTGGCTAGCCATAAGGGCTAGCCAAGGGCTACAGTGAGCCCTAAAGATTCACAATAATGGCCAGGCATGGTGGCTCACACCTGTGGTCCCTTTGGGAGGCCAAGGCGGACAGATCACCTGAGGCAGGAGCTTGAGACCAGCCTGGCCAACATGGTGAAACCCCGTCTCCACTAAAAGTACAAAACTTGGCTGGGTGTGTTGGTGGGTGCCCATAATCCCAGCTACTTGGGAGGCTGAGGCA